GCAGAGGGAGGCCTGGAGCAGGCCCTGCCGAGCCCGCTTCCTGCCCGCAGCCCAGACAGCTGCTCCGGAAGGGCATTTCTGAGAGCCCTAGGCTATTTTTTGCGTGGCCCTAACCCAAGAGGACTACAGGAATGTTGCCAGTCCTCTACCTTAGATCCTGTGCTAAGGACTGGGCTCTGGGTAGGTCTGCAGATTTAATTTTTACCCAATCCAAAACGCTTCCTCAGTGAAGTATTTAGGTCTCATATTGCTCCTTGCTTCTCCTCATCCCCAAATCCCATATCCAAAACAGATAGGAAGTATCCCTGTAACTTACATAAGGGTATCTTATTGTGCTAACATCTCCTTGGCCTCTAAGTCATCTCAAAGAAGTAGACATTTTGGGGACGTGACGTCTGCCTCTCCTTTTCCAGTAGGAGTGGAGGTGCTGGGGAAGCTACGCATGGGACTTGTGTTGTTATAACTGAGCCCTGAGGACAAATGTCAGGAACAAGGACTAATTAGCAGTGGAAAAGACTTACAGTGTTACCGTATGAAGAAAGTGCACTCCCACCAGCTCTCATTTACAGCACCACGCTGGCCATAATGCAATTTGTAGTGGGTCCAATTTTTTTCTTTCTCCACGCAAACATTTTCTTCAGCTCCCCCCTGAAGCTGTCATGGAGCCAGGCGTAGAGGAAGGCATTGGTACAAGCAGACATCATTGCAAACCAGTGGCACAGCAGCTGGATGAAGTTGAAGTACTGCTTGTCAATCAAGCTGATGTCTATGTCCTTTATCATGTTGAAGATGTGCAGAGGCAGCCAACAGACTCCAAAGGCTGCCACCACTAAGACTAGCAAGCGAAAAGTCTTTCTCCTCCTTGCTCGGTCCCACTCAGCTTGGCCCTGGGTGACATTACCTGGGACCACGCGGTTTTTCAGCTTGACTGAGATTCTCAGGTAGGACAGGGAGATGACAGCCAAAGGCAGTACATAGGTGATGATGAGAGTGCTGTAGGCATAAGCTAAGCGATCTCTTTTCATGTGGAACCAAAACTCCTCACAGATGGAGAAGTCCAGTTCTGGGAATTCAGCATGGTAAGTGTGGACCAAGGCTGGGGCAGCCAAGGTACAGCTCAACAGCCAAATAGCAGCCAGGATATAAGCACAAATAGGGATGGTGAGCCTCCTGCGGAATGGGTACACCATGGCATAATACCTATCCACAGCTATGACAGTCAAGGTAAAGACAGACACAAACACAGTGACAGGTTGCATCAGGAACACAAAGTAGCACATGAATCGCCCGTACACCCATCCTCTGGGCTCAAAGGCATATGCAAGTGTCAGGGGCACACAGGTTGCACACATGAGCATGTCTGAGAAAGCCAGATTGCCTACCAGAAAGTTGGTGACGTTGTGCATTTTTTTGGTCTTGCAGATAACATAAATGAGAAGGTAATTCCCAATGACACCAATAAAAACCACCAACGAGTAGCAGGGGATGATGAGTGGCTTGAAGGACTGAACAAACTGGAGACCTGAGAATAAATTGCTGGCATTGCTATGAATCGCAGAGAGGAAGCTTTGGGAGGTTAAATTGTCCGAATTCATCATTTCCCTCCTTTTGTCGTCTGCCGTCAGCTGAGTGAAGTAGTTACTACTGCACTGCTCCCGCACTCAATCAGTGTGGATAATGAACGGATTACTGGCTGTCCAGAGGTTACCACATGGATAGTAAACAAGCATCCGTAAAAGCAAAAGGTGAAGTTGTAATCCTCGAGCGACAGCTTTCAGCAGTTCCTAAGAAAAATCAAATACAACCAGTTTCCATTAAAGTCCTCCTGTATTTACTATTAAATCTAGGTTTTGACAGCATGCCACTTAACAAACATTTAATGCAGTGAGTACTTACTGCTGTGGTTTTTTAATCCCATATGATTTTCCTGTGGATGCCAAGAAGTGCCCTAGATGTCTGTCTTCTGCAAATCCAGGAGTGTGTGTGTGTGTCAGAGAGAGAGAGAATATATGAGCAAGAAAGAGGGTGATGCGCATTTACAAGCTAAGTGGAGATCAGTGTTTTTAAACAGTCTTCACTACTAGGTCGTGACAGATTTGTGTATAAGCTTTTATCCGTATTGGCTCTCCTGGGTATTACGTTGCTCTTTGCGTGTTTCTTATTGATAGTAATTAGTTCTTGAATATCCTTTCAAAAATTCCCTTCTTCCAGTGCATCTATAATTGCCCCTTACAGCTAAAAATCAATTTAAATTCATTAACACTAGCCTGCACAGTGCCTAATCCAAGATTCACTTTGCCACAGTCCTCAGTGTCCGGAAAAGCTACCTGTGAATTTGCTGCTATAATGTGGCTGTAAAACAGAATTTTAATAATGTGCTGAAGCCAAATAAATGTTTATGCCACTAGAGGGACTCAGCTTCGTACCCGGTGAATGAAGTTAGGATTAGAAATGTGCATTTAGCATGTAGCACAAAGGCTCTTATTTTATTTAAATTTATTTTCTAATGGTGGTACAATGTTTGTTCACCCATTGTCAGTCTTTTCCGTGGGATTTACACATCTTTAAAAGTAAACACATGTGACCATCTCAAAGGAAATATTAGCATCCAGATAGCTTAGCTGTAAGGTTTACCTGCAGTGAACTACAGCAAACTGTTTCTCATACTGCAGCTGCCCCGAAATATTTGGGGTATTTCTTCATTCCTGCAGTAGGTTTGTTAACCTTTTCGTTACCAGACAACAAGTGCTAACCGGTCTGTAAAACAGTTTATATTTGTTTTGTTTGGTTCAGACATCAGAAAGAAAAAAATCAAGATAGGTGCTTAGAGAACATACATTTAAGCAGACATCCCTGTCCAGCTCTTACCTATTGCTCTAACTCTCCCTTAACTTTCCTCCATTTCAACCACTTCTGGGACCAGGATCTCAGTTGGTGAAAAACAGTAAAACTCCACTGCACCCATTTATACCAGCTAGGGAAACGAAGAAATAACTTCAGAATACTTCAGACCAGAGAACGTTGCTAGGTTTTGCAAGGCACTCAGCGGATTTACACACAACTTCAATGGACAGTTTATGTCCCAACCTCTTAGACTACTCTGAGGAAACATTAACCCATTATTTTCTATGAGGCTATGAGCAGACCTACATCCTTCTTTTGATTTGATATAATCTGACATAAACCAAAAGTTTATACAGATTTCATTTGTGCCATAATCCCTTCCCTAATCTTGTGAACAGCAGAAGTAATCTGGTGTAGCCCTTGTTCAGACCAGAGCCATTCTCCCACAACTATTTATGACAGATGGGCCTTTCAAACGTAGTAAGTGCTGACTCTGTGCCACTGCATTTATGGCTAGATTATGCTATGGACTGGAATATGGCTATAATTCCAGCCCGAGGAGAGAACAAGCATGTAGCTGCCTTGCTCAGGAGTGCTGTCCTTCACTCCATGGATGTAATAACCTATCCATGACCCATACAAAAAATAGGATGTGATACCCCACTTCAGAATCTCACCTGTCTGAGCTGGATGGGACCCACAGGAATATAGGACCTATTTATCTCCACATACCCAAATCCAGAATAGGAGAGAGACCTGAGGGCAGAGGTTGTAAAGAGGCAATGAAAAAGGGAGTTTCTACTGCTTTCACCACCCACTGCAACCGTACTACTTTGTGATAAGCAGCGTGCCTCAGAAATAATTCCTAAAACCCATAAATGCAATTGTTTCACCTTCTCCCACAATGTGGGAGAAAAGTATGGTCTGATTTAAATCCTACTGAAGTAGGATTTCAGTGGGCTTTAAACATGGTCTCTGGTATAAGCCAAAAGACATAGAAAAATGAACGGGGAACATATGTAAATAGCCTTCATACTGCCCACATCCCACTGGAATTGCAAGGCTTATGCTAGGAAAGAAGCCTCCCAATAATGTCAGTGCACATGTAATAATTGAAAATCACATTTTTATCTAAGAAGTGATTTTTCTGTTTAATTCCCAAGAGCTGCACAGTAGATCCAATAAATATCCTCATTGTACTCCTATGAGAAAAAGGTTTATACTTCTCTCTGTGAGAATAAAAATCAAACAAAATATCATCTTAAGTAGCCTTCAAGGGCACCTTAATGCTCATATCACAAAAACTTATAAGTAACCTTATAAGTTCTTTTATTGCAAGCTACACCAAGCAATCTTCTTACATTTTCTCTTACCTTTAAATGTATTTTCTTCACTTCTGAAACCAGTAGCCAGTACACTTCTGTTTGAAGGTTCCCGCCCTATTTCTGGTAGTGATTTTCTGTTTGTTTTGGTTTCAGGCAGAAATTTCTTCAGTTCAACTGTACTCTACAGCCGAGACCTGGAAAAATAATATTTAATAAGGACTTGAACATAAAAAGTATTTCAGCATTTTAACCCAAATAAATCCCCTTTCCTCCTTTTAAAATTGCAAATATTAATCTTGTTTAGTGTTTCCTAGGCTAGATGACAAAGTCCTTCCTGAACTGACTATAAGTTTATTTCACACACAGAATTTTCTCATTAAAAGAGAAAAGGTCACAGAAATGGCATTACTGTCATATTAGAACTGTTTTGACATTCCAAGTGTATAAGGGTGTCACATACAGGAATGCTGATTAGTGTCTAATTGAAACCTTGGTCTTCCTTGAGTCAATAGAAAACGTTGTATCTAGAGTCAAACCAAGACTTCCCAGAAACATTTCACAGCTGAGCTTTCATGATCTGTTATGCTAACCTGTCCAACTCTGTACAGACACTTTGAGTACAAACATTGTAAGGTGCTATGTGATTTTCAGAAAGCGGTAAACCTCTTAAAGCACTAAGTTGTTTCTTCCATGCATGCCCAACCACCCTTGTAGTTCCTAATTAAAACAGCATGATCCAGGACTGAGATCTGATCATAGCAGATATACTTGCAAAGTTCAACAGTACTTCTTAAGCTAGTAGGCCCTCTCTTCTATTATTTAGGCTTTACAGGACAAAACATTTTCTTCCGTCATTAAGATCTCACAGTTTCAGGTGTTAGTTTTCTATGTTCTATGTTTATTTGATATGTGTCTTTTTCTGTAAAACACAACTTCTTTTGCATCACAGAACTCCTTTAAAAAGTCTTTCACATTCTTCCAGGAATGTTCTGTGCAGAGCAGATCAAGCAGTTCTTGCAGAGCCTACAGTAAAAATAGACGCTTTGCTTATTTTGAATGAAGTAGAGCTGGGGGTTCTTTTAGCAAATCCTTCTCTTGATCAGCCGAGGAACAAGGCTGTGTATCACACAACAATTTCAAGACAGGGCAGCCTGTTCCTCCTTCTCTCATTTAATCATATGAATGCATCCTCTCTGTCCCTGCTGTGGACTGAGACATCACAGTCTCTAAACACTAAAAACCATGTTTACAACTAAGGGTTTTGTTTGTTTGGCTTAGAGTTTTTTGGTTGTTGCTGTCATTTTTCTCAAATTAAAGGTACCAAACTTTGATAAACTCAGGATTCAGCTTAAAATAATTCATTTAAGCTGAAGAGGAGCTTAACAACTTGAATGGAGAGGAAGCTTGGATGTAAATCAAAACATGCTTGAGGTTGCACCCTGTAGAATAGGGGCTCTACTCTTCCCTGTATGCACAGAATTCTTAGTCTGCTGAGAAAAGTGACACAAGAAAACTGAGCTGGTTCCTTAGATGACAAAGATCTTGTGCTAAAATAAAGATAACAGTGTAAAAACTGAGGAAAAATACAAGTGAGATACTTGATACATACAATCCCCTCCTGGGAATGAAGGTGTTGGATCACAATTACCAAACCAAAGTAAAAGCCAAATGTAGAAGTGAATAAACTCATCCTATCAGGAGCTAGCTAATCCCCACTGCCAGGTTCTGCAAGAACTGGCACACAGAACTACTGGGTGAGAAGTAAGGGCTTTTCCCATCTTTATGGCACAGGAACCCAATCCTGTGACTGAAGAAAAGCAAATGGACCTCTCCTGTCCTTAAGAATAAGGAGGGGGGTGGGGGCAGGTGATGAGAATGTGTAGGGCCTTTAGTCTGGCAGCCGTTTTACAGTAGGTTTTAGCCCAGATTTAAGTACAGAGGAAAAATAGAGAGAGAGGAGACAGAATAGGATACCAAAGGAAGCTTTTGTTAAATTAACGTTCCATCTCTACATTATTAAACTGATTTTTCTCAATGTAGGTTTTGTAGTAGTTCTTCTTAGTTTGAGTTTGCATAACACATGATGTGGTAGCATATGAGAAACCATCACCTGTACCAGAGGAAATAATAGTCTAAGAACTGTGAGGTAGGCAAAGAACAGCAACATTTATGAAGGAATTGGACCAGAAGACAGCAACTATTCATGCTTCTCAAGAACCTTGCTTGTGACTGACCAGCCTTGGTAGCTCTCTTCATTTTGTTATGTAAGTAGGACCACAATGACTGAATTTGATAGAACTGCCAAGTTTGGAACCAGAGACGATGTGGAGGATGACTGTAAAATTACATAGAGAAACTTTGAAAACCTTAAGGAAAATGGGAGGAAGTTTGATACTGTTACAGAGGAAAAACCTGTCATAAAAGACAGGATCAAGGTCACCTGAATGTAAGCATTT